GGCCGCAGGGAGTGGGCCTAAGCTGTCAGTCAAACATTCCCCAAGGGCTCCCAGACTGCGAGAGGGCACAGGCTGGGCTGAGGGACCCCCACCTCGAGTGCACGAATTTTCATGCACAGAGCTTCTAGTTATTTAATAAGTGAACATGTTAGGCTAATCTTAATAATCATTAACGACTAATAATTAATGTTAGATATTTCTTAACATAGATTTCATTTTTATGAAAATACATTTTTCAAAAAGCACAATGTATTGTGCCTTGGCTATATTTGCATTGACCTTTGAAATTCTAGAATACTTCATATTTATATGTGATATGCATATGCTTGGCATGGAACAGGTGCTTAAAAATATTAGCTGCTTGTTAATAAGCTTGCAGTGGTATGTCTGAAGTTACAGTTAAAATTGGAAGAATGATCGTGATAAGTGTGTTAACATATTTTACAATAATGCTATTAACAATAATAGCTATCATGAGTAAGTACCTATCATGCACTAGGCAACAGATTAACAACTTAATACATTATTTTATCTGGTCCTGAAAACAACCGTGAACTAGTATTTTCTTTTTACTTTACAGATGAGGAAACCAAGGCTCAGAGAAGTTATGCTACTTTTCCAAGGTCACAGGGCTAGTAAGTACAAGTTCTGGATTAGCATCCAAGTTTTTAAGCTTCTTCTCTTTAGATAATGAGAAAGCTGATTGTAACTTACACATTTCTGATTTTCGATTCTCAATTTTTGTCAAGCTGGTTGTCATCAATGAAAGAATATTTCCAAATTTAATTCAGAATTCTATCAGTATAACTACTAACCGCAGACTCAGATTCCTATGATTCGTTTCTACTGCTCAGCCATTCCTGGATGTGCCTTTACTGATAGCAGCCATTGATGTAAAGTGGGGTCAAGATGCAATATATTGTCTCTCCCTTCATCACTTTGGTTTAGCAGAACCCACAAAGTTAAAGCAACTAGATGATCCTAAATCACTTTATATTTTCTTTTTTACAGTGTGAGTAGGATGTTTCCTCCTTTAACTAGGGAACAGCTTATAACAAATACACTGGTGCCTCCCGTGCTGCACCTCTCCCTCTGCCCCAGATCCACATGGTTTCTGAACCGCTGCATTTCATCAGAAGGACTCTCAGGGTATTTGTGCAGGTGCAGCCTTTGACTTCAGTGGTTTGAGCATCTTCATCCTCAGATTCTCTCTTTGTTCTCTTTTATAATTCCATTTTACATCTCCCATCCTCACACAATACTGAGTTAATCACAAAAAATGTATAGATTTTGCAATAGAGCCAGACTAATGCTATGAAAATGCTATGAAGACACTGATTCATTCATTCATTCATTCATTCATTCATTTATCATTCATTCATCAACAAGTTTTGATGATAGCTATGATGCCAGACTGCAGGCATGTGGAATACAAAGGTAAGCAAGACATGGCTGTTACCCTCAGGGAGCTCACAATCCCCTAGAATTGTGTAGAAATTTTTCTCTGACCAGACTTACACTAACGACCCTCACCTTTCTGGAAGCAAAATGTTATCTTCGGATTACAAACACATGTGCTGTGAACCTTGTAGGATGGCGAGGGTGAAGTACACAGTTATAAAACTTGATATTAATGGCAAAAAATGAAATGTATCTCTTAGGATAAACTTTATTAAAAATATTCTACAAAATATGAGTTATTTGGAATGTTAAATGGCATTATGGGCAGGAATAAAAAAAAGGGCCCATAGTCTAATGCATTTGGAAAATGCTGGTTCTAAAAGTTAAACTGTTTCTTCATTGTAGGATCTCCCAGAATGTAAGAACACGCATTATGGTTCTGCAGGAGGGGAACATAATATGCAGCATTAACCAATCGTACTTGGTCATAAAATCATTTTTTAAAAGAGGCCATGTCTTTCATGTAATATACTTTGTGTAAAGGTACACTTCTACTTTTTCATATAAAATTTTGGAAAAAAACAAAACAGTCCAAATCAATCACATATGGAAAAAATGGACTTCAACTCCACACCTCATTTTTATTGTCTGTGGTAAGTATACCCATTATACAAGTAGCTTTGGGGCACACATGCCTTAATAGTGAATATATTATATATATTTATGCATATATTTATGCAGGGTGTGTGGAGAGAGAAGGAGAGAAGGAGAAATGAAGAGAAGAGTCTCCAAATTCCAGTACTTATTCATGATGCTCATTACTGACTAGGTCATCCCCAACACACCAAAGTTTTTCCATTTTGGACAGGAGAAACTTATTGAAAAGGAAAGTCAAAGTAAAGCATTCTGTCCCCATAGGCATTCAAGCACTTTGCACAGGCACCAAAAACAGGCGTGCGAAAGGAGGTGTACCTTCAGAACGTCCCCAGATGTGCATATGCTGTGAAAAAGAGGCTTAACGGAAGTGTGCAGCCATGGCTTATAGAAAACTTAAAAAAGGAAAACTATGAAAGGTAATTAGGAAAGTGAGAATTGTTGGGAGGTGGTGAGGAATGGGATTAGGCTGTCATGGCAGATTAATGTGCCCCAGTATTTCACTTCTGGGACCTGGCCGAAAGCGACAAGATGGGTTTTCATTCCCAAGAAATGAGTATAAGAGATTATGCTAGAAATGAACAGAAGTCTCCTAGGAGAATATACTACAAAGCTGCTCGGTACTGATATTTAATCATCAGGGGCAGCTGTAATAGAGAGGGGGATGAGTGGGAAACGCTGTCCCTGGAGAAAACAGGAGAGAGGTGTTAACAGAGCAATTTCAAAGCACTGTGGTATCGTTGCCCTCTCTACCTATTGATCATTCATGGCACGTACTTTAATACTTAAAAATTAAGAATAAAATATGAAAATGCAAAGGTTCACTCATCAGAAAGGCTAAGAGAATAAATTATACTCTGCTATAACCAACTTTTTATTGTAGAGGCATTTTGCATTTTATATAGTAATGTGTCCCTTGCTAAATGTCTCCTGTTTTTTTACAGCCTTATATATGGAAAAAAAGGTAGCATATACTTTGCTTTACATAATAATCGGTGCATTTAAATTATATTTCCAAATCACTTGAAAGGTTGAAATTTGACTGTTAATACTTTAAGGGAAGGGACTGTTGGTTAGACTTCTTTATTTCTCTCACAATGCCTAGCACAGTGCCTTATACATACAAAGCACTCAATTATTGGGGAACAAAGAAGGAAATGAGGATGTACATTTCTTCCTAGGGATTTTCTAAACAATGGCACACACATAGTGAATAAATCTTATTCTAATCAATAAAAAGATAGTTTCTTCACTGTGTTGTAAAAGGTCTCTGTCAGCATCCATTGTCAAGGGAAATTTTGACTGAGGTTGGGTGGTGGTGGCATTCGGTGTCCCGAGTTCAAAAGTGACTCCATATGATAGGGGCAGGGCTGATGGATGTCCCATCTCCTAATCATCTTGAGGAAACACAACAGATCATCTCAGAAGAGGCAGATTTGATAATATGATATGAGGATGCAAAAATAAATTAAAAAATAAAATTGAGTTCTAGTACGAGCAACTTAACACCTATCTAATATTTTTGAAAACTGTTTAATCTTTCACAAGTAACCTAAGACCTGGGAATGTCTATTTCCATTTTTATAAATGAAAGTGTTTAAAAATATGACTACCAAGGTCTAGTTCAGTTCTATGACTTTTATAGCTCCATGTCTTAATTTTCTGGGTGTCAGTTATATTTAAATTTTCCAAAGCTCACGTATATATGGCAAGTTAGCCAAGAAGCTAGAAGCCCAAAGTCCCCAAATAAATATCACTGAGTCATGAGGGAGTATGATGTGGTGGTTAAAGAATGGCTTTTGAAATCAGATAGCCCAGGTCTAAACACCACTCTACTGCATGAATATGGCCAAGTTATTTAACTTTCCTGAGGCTCAGTTCCTCCCATAAAGTGGAGACAAAAATACCTACCCTAACGGGGATGTGGGAGAGCACTTGGGAGAGTCAACAACAAGTAAATTGTAGTTCTTTTCATTGTTTCAGGTACTGTTAGTTGCAAAGAACAGAACTAAATCAGAACCAGCTTCCCTAAAAAATGTTTGATTAAATGATACCAGGAACTCTGAGGGAGCCTAATTATCACGAGTATGGCTGGGTCTCCTGGAAATAGGAGTGGAGATGTGTAAAGCCAGAAATCACGTCTGCTCTTTCTCTGTTTCTCTAGAGTTATACAATTTCTTATTTCTGTGTCTCTCTGACTATCTAGTTTCTTTCCTTCTCTCTGCACATTTCTCTTATCTGCTTGACATGGGGTCATTGTAGCTCTCCCAAAATGGCAGCCTCAGTTCCCAAGTCTGCAGGTTGGATGTCAACAGTAACTGGGCAAATTCCTAAGAGATAAAATATGATTAAGTGGGTTTTAATTAGGGGTGTACGCTTGGCCCAAAGAGCTGAGAGGTCAACTATTAAGAAGGTCTGCCTCTCAGTGTGATGGACAGGCTCTCGCAAGGAGAGGAGAGGGCCAGTGGTATCTGGGTACAAATATTGTACACTTGACTCTTAAAAGAACCCACAGGGTGCTCACTCTTGTTTTATAGAGACAATTATAACACATATATCTTTTCTTTATGCAGAAGTGGCAGAATGGTAGGGGACTAGAAAAGGTATGCAAGAGGAAGATACAATGATGTCATTGCCTAAGAGAGAAAGACATCCTAAAAAAAATGAAATGCAGATACAGGAATTGAAACATAAGGAATTGTAAGTACTATATGATGAAAGTATTGACACTTCAGTAGACTCTAGGGATTGAAGAAGTGAAGATAACATCAAACCTATGACCATAAAAACTTAAGTACTATACGATGAAAGTATATCCAGTTGACACTTCGGTAGACTCTAAGGATTGAGGAAGTGAAGATAACATCAAACCTATGACCATAAAAACTGTGTTTATAATAATCTTTAAAAAGTTATACTTATTTAAAAGTCAGAAAACTTTATTGAAAGCTATAGTAAGATAGTTAAAATCTTACCCATTCATGCATCCATCATTCATTCTTCATTCATGCAGCAAACATTCATTATATGTTTATTATGCTCCTGGTATTTGTTTTACATCATGAGAATTCAAGGAGAAGGGGAGACATGCCTGTTAATCATCAATTAAAATAGAGTGAGAGGCACACTTTTAAAAAAAAGCACAACTTGGGCATTATATGGGCACAGAAAGTTGACAAGGGGAAGTTGCAGCAGGGATAGAACCCTGGGTAGTGTTTGCAGGGGAAAGGAGAAGACGGGCATTCCAGGCAGGAATACTGGGTAGCAGGGGGAAGTGAACTAGCTTGACCCCTTTGAGCATTTCAAATAGCCCCTTGGGTCTGGAGCATAGATGCGTGGGTGCAGGTGGGGTGGAAGGAGTGAGTGCTGGGCTAGAGAAATGGGCAGGAGCCTGATTGAAAAGGGCTTTAAAGGGCTCAACTAAGGAATTTGAACACTATCCTGAAGCCAAGGAGGCTGTTGAATGGCTTTTAAGCAGGAGAGTGGGCTGGGCTTTGAGAATTACAAAGATTATTCTGGAGTGCCAAGGCAAGAAGCCTGGAGGAGAGAGTTGGGCTGGTTGTAGCAACTCAGGAGAGGCAGAGAAGCAGTAGTGACTTAAAACGCAAAGATGTTGACTTTAGGGATACTAAGCAGGGAATCTGGATGGCTTGTGGATTTCTCGTGGTGCTATTCACTGAGACAGAGAGAAAGAAACCAGTATAATCAGCAAGACTGAGATTGAGGTGACTGTGAGATTTCAATAGGAGGTGCCCCTCAAGTGGTTGGAATCAGCATCCTCTGGAGAGAAGAGAATTATGGATCCAAGATCTGGGTTTGGGACTGATCAGAGATGGGTGAAGGCCTGCATGAAGGATCATGTAGAGCAGGAGAGAAACAGGAGAGGACATCAAGAGTGCTGGCTGGGACAGGAGGAAACAGGCCTTGAAGCACACTGAGGAGAAAGGCTAGAAAGGTAGGTGAAATCCTTTGTCTTGGAGGCAAGGGAAGAGAGAGTTCTAGGAAGGAGGGAACAGAAAATGGGTCTCATGGCAAGAAGGGTCAAGAAAGAAGGACAATAAGAATGTCCAGCAGCTCTGGAAAAAGGGGCCATTGATGGCATTACTGGGGGCAGTTCCCCTTGTGAGGTGAAACTGGTTGCCCTGTGGGAGGGCAGGCATTGGGGAAGTGAAGACAATGAACTCTCCAAGAAGACTGACTGGAAAGGAAGAGAAATAGAGCAGAAGCTAAAGGGAGAAGCATGGATTGAGGTGGACTTTTTCAAGAAGGGGGGTGGATTGTTCATATTAATAGGATGCTGAGAGCTAGTAGGAAGGGGAAGGGAGATACAGGGCAGAGAGAGGAAGATTAATGGAGCAAGGTCTCAGAGGAGGGAGCAAGGAAGGGATCCAAAGCCGAGGTGGAGGGATTAGCGTCAGACAAGAGGAAGGACAGCATTTTCACTGAGATAGGAGGTCAGGAGGAAAGGATGGGGCCAGACAGATAAGTTTGTACATGGCAGGGGAGGAAATTGAGGGAGTTCTCGATTGATGGCCTCAATTTTCTTGGTGAAGGAGGAGGCAAGGTGATCTGCTGAGGAGAGCGGGGGAGGTGGTCGACAGGAGGCGGTTTAGGAAGGGAGAGTATTTAGTATATAGAACTTCTGGAACTGCTAAGAGCAATGGAGGACACAGAATCTGGGGAATACTGAGCATCTAGTGATGCCACCAGTTGGGAGAGTATATTTGCTGTATCTCAAACTATGACATTTTCTACTAAAGCCTTTAAAAGCGTAGGCAGAGTCACATGAAATTGAATTGCTAGATTGAACTGGGGCTGAGTTGTTGCAGAGTGGATGTCACAGAAAGTTAAGAGTGTCAAGAAACTGTAGGATATTGAGAAGGCAGGGTTGAAGTGATGGGCTATATGACCCAGGATGGATAGAGAAGGGCACACAGTCAAAATTCATTTGCTAGATCAGGAGCAAATGTAAGTGGCCAGGACTCCAAGGTATCAATAGGTAAGCATTTTGGGGAACAGAAAGGGATGTGGTCTGTTGATGTTTCAGATTATGAGGGTACACCTGCGAGGGGACTTTGAAATCGGTCACCTGAAAGTTAATTATACCACTTTGGTGAAGCCTTTCTTGACATCTCCATTCCCAAACTTTTTCCTCCAGCTTCTGAACTCACATATCATTTTGTCTGCAGACAGGTAGTAAGAACATTAAAACTGGACCCTCAATATATGACTCAGGAGATCTGGGTTTGGGTCTTATTTCCAGCGCCCATATTCTATGGCCTTGGCCACTGTGTGAGCCACAAAGCCACGGCTATCTTGACCAGTCCAAGTTGCTTAAGGACAGATTATTCTGTCCTGTGCACATTATGTGCCTTCACATCTCCAGTACTGATGCAATCTCTTTGTTTGTTTTCCACCTTCCTGTGGGGGGAGCAGAGGCCTTATTCCTCTGGCTTTGCTTTTCTTCCCTGCAGTTTATATGCTATCCAACATAAAAAAAAACCCACCTGGCAGAGGTTCTACTGGGGAAGGAAGAGATATTTTGCCTCATAAAATTTAAAATTTCTTAAGCCCAATTTTCTTTTAATAGTCTCAAAATCAGATTTTAGAGAAGCAAGTCTAAAAGGCTTACAAATGCCATGAAAACAAATATTCTGGGGGGAAAAATAGGCCCTTTAAAATCTGTGCTTTGTTATCTGACTGAGCTCAAGGGAGACAGACCAAATCAACAAGCATGACATGGAGGGCAAATTTGCAATTAAAAGAAGAATAGGGAATTATAAAGATGGATGGGCCCCTTGGCACACGAGCCCAAGTCTGCGTGGCCTTGGCCTTGGATACCAGAAATTAATGCTTTACTCTTTAGCACTGGTCACCTTTGGCTCTGAACAGAAAGGCAAATGCATTAAAATAACAACAATTAGAACACTTACTTAGCTTGGAAGGCATTGTTGGTTCCCCTGTGGTCGAGGTCATGACACAGGCATCCCACAATCACCGCGAGAATTTCCACCTCGGTCAGAATCTCTTGAAACCCGGCGGTCTGGGAAAAAGAGAAAATGGCAACAGTCACCGCCCAGGGCAGGGAGGATGGATAAGGTTCGTCTGCCCAGCAATAATCAGCTCTGTTTTCATACCCACATCAGTTAAGGAAATGATTAACTGCCACCCCCTTAGATGGTAGTGAGTTGGGTGGCCACTTGCACAGCCTTGATCCCACAGTGATGGATTAGCTCCCTGTCAAGTTGCCCCATGCTGGCCTGCCAGAACTAAGCTCAGACCATTGTGTTCCCCTTTTAGAGAAGAGGCTGCACTATCCAGATACAGTGACGGTTTGACAAAGGCCCAGAGCAAAATGTGTTCTGTGAGTCTACATTTCAATGACGAGCATCTAGTGGTAGGGGAGAGGGGGCTGTGAATTTAGAACTGAATGTTATATCCACCAGAAGCCACTCAAATGAAAACCTGCAAAAGAAAACACTCCCACCCCTTAATATTAAAAGAAGCAACTTAGAAGTACGGAAATGGTTACATGATGATATTTTAGATGTTATTCTGTAAGTGCCTTCATTCATATTAGCTTGGCGGACAGATTAAATTCATACAGATAGTAAGGCAGTGCATGTCTTGATTAGGCAACCAGATTGAGGATCAGCTGGAGTATTGTTGGAATTCTTTATTATCCTCTGCAGCTTGCTTGTGTAGTGCATAGGTGTGGTGTGATTTCTTCAGTACAACATTCTTGTTTATAATTTTCTCTTCACTATTGTTTTCTGTCCTGTTTGCCTGGAACTCCAGTTAGTTGGACACTGGATTTCTTGTATTGATTTCCTTGTTTTGTCTTTTTTTTTCCCCATTGCCCATATTGACTTTTTCTCTCTTACTTTCTATGAGTAATAATATTTTTCATCTATAAGAATTTTTGGGTCTCTGTTCCTATTCTAATAGCATTCTACTCTTCTCTCATGGATGCATTATCATATTTTATTTTTTTGAGGATATTAATTATTTCTCTGAAATTCTCTCTGCTCCCTGATTGCCTATTTCCTCTGAGTTATTTTTCTCTGTGTAGTGGTTTCCTCAAGTGCCTGGTAGTTCACACACACGAGTAAAGCATGCAGAGTTCACCACACACCAGTGTGTGAGGAGGGAGGTCTGCAGATTGCTGGGCCCCTATCAGGTGGCGAGCAGATGACAGCTGGCTTTTGGCTGAGATCCCCATGTGTCCATATCTAAGTTCATTTCCTCTGGACTTTTCAATCTCTTGTTTGGAAATGGCATAAACACAGGTTTGGCATTCTGAGAAAAGAGAAGACAGCTTCTCACCTTTGAAGATATAGACTTTCACTTAATTCTCTTATTTTCAGTTACCTCACCCTAACTTTTTTGTTGCTGGTGTCCCCACATTTGGGGTTCAGTTTCTCCAGCAAATACTCTGGTTTCCTGAATAGGTGAGGGAAGAGGAGCCCTCTGACTACGTGGAGAGGGGATGGGGACTTGGGGATGCAGAGCTTTCATTGCCCTTACATCCCATTTCTGTGGTATCCGATACCTCCAGTTCCTGAGCTCTGGTAGCATTGGGGGCTGTTTCTCGTGTGTAACCCTTCCGCTACCCACTCACCTTGAAGGCACTTGGGTTGGACTTTCCTTTTCTCTGCTAAGCTATGAACCACCCTCCCTCAATTTTCTACCTTCATCTATTAAGGTTCCATGACAGGTGGAATTTATGTTTGTTTCTTCTCCCTGTTATTTGGGGGTGATTTTTGAAAGGAAAATTGGACATGAATATCTGTATCTGTCATCTTGAAACTATAAGTCAGTTTAGTTGGGTTTGGATCTTGCTAATACTAAGTAAAACCTGAGAGTCTGCCAAGTATGAAATATTATTCATGGTACTTCTCAAAGGGTGAGAAGCTACATAGAAACTGGTGCTGTAAACAATGAAATGGCACAGAAATTTAGAAATATTTCACCTTTGAAAATGCTATTGATTAGAACTAGCTGATGCATTAAAACAGTCAGAATAGGGATGGGATAATGTTAAACTAAGGTCATTTGACTAGAAATGTAGGAAAAGTTAAAGTTAAATGTCATCAAATAGACTCAATATCAAAATCCAAAATTATTTTTAAGCTATCGGTTATCACCCATTATATAATGTGATGGAATATATTTTACTCGAATGTTTTTCTGTGAAGAACATCTTCCCTCCCATCCTTGTCCCTTTCTGAAAATCCAGCATGAAGTTCTTAAACTATTTGTATCATGGATACTTTGAGAATTTGATGAGAGCCATGGACCCGCTTCCTAGAAAGTATTCTATGATTTTGTAGTGTTCGAAGACCATGGAACCCACCTCTGGATGATCCTCAGAATAAAGAAACCCTGAAAAACAGCACACACCCAATTACACAAAACATATTTGCCTCTCTCACCCGTGATACCCGAGTTACTGAAGCAGCACCTATCTCTTGGCTGTGATTTAGAGCTGCCTGGTAAATGGTTTCTGAGAGTCGTCAGGCCTAAGAAGTGTCCACCTGACACTAAGTGTCCATTTGCTCCTCCCCCGCCCTCATCCATCTTCTTTCTAGTCTTATCCCTTCTGACCTACACTTACATTGAGGAGAAAAGTAAACTGCCTGTTAGAGACAGTATACTTTCAAAAGAGAACAGAGTGGAATCTATACAACAAAATAAATGAATAAATAAAACAGAAACAAACTCATAGTTACATGGAACAAACTGATGGTTTCCAGATGGGAGAAGGGTTGGGGGGCTGGGTGAAAAGGGTGAAGAGATTAAGAAGTACAAAATGGAAGTTACAAAGTAGTCATGGGGATGTAAAGTACAGCAGAGGGAATATAGTCGATCATATTGTAATAAATATGTACGGTGCTAGATGGGTACTAGACTTATTGGGGGACCCCTCTGTAAGTTATATAAATGTCTAAATGTTTAGGTGTACACCTAAAACTAATATAATATTGAATGTCTACAGTAATTGAAAAATTACAAAAAATTAAAAAGATATAAAATTTATGAAGGTGGGGCAGCAGGAAGTGTGAATGCATTTATTTTATGCTCGACTCTATTTTAGTCTTTTATTTTCAAATAATATTATATTTTTTCTGCTCCTGGTCTAATAATTACTTATTTTAATCTGTCTTCTCACCTGTATTCCTTCATGGTCCATTATCAGAGATGGAAAGCAGTGAATACAATATACCGAGGTAGAGACATTCAAGGCACATTGACCTAATCCCCACATCACCCTCTCCAGAGGAGTCTGTGAGCACCCTCTGAGAAGGCCTCCAACAGTCCTCTGTTTGGCTAAAATGTGAGCTGGGATAACCCTACCCTCAGCCACTACAGCATATAACCACTGAAGCTCCAAAGGACCCAAACAGCAAGACTGTTTCACAGGGTCCCCTAGGCTACCCAGTATTTTCCTATCATTTGGTCAACATAAAATGTGAACCAGATAGAAAGTGCCCCTATTTCAAAGCTGATCCTGTACTACCCTAGTGAACAAGAATATTATGGCCAGAGAAAAATATGAGAGACACATCGATTGGTTGCCTCCTGCACTCACCCTGACCAGGGCTGGGGATCGAGCCTGCAACCAAGGTACATTCCCTTGATTGGAATCAAACCCATGGCCCTTCAGTCCTCGGGCTCTAACCCCTGAGCAAAACCGGCTAAGGCACATGATAGGTGTTTGTAGAGTCTTTCTTCTCCCTTCGGCCTTTTCTTTCTTCTGCAGAAGAGAAAAGAGCACAGCTCAGACAACTCCTAGGGGTTTGAAGAACATGGTTTCTCAAGGAAGGGCCTCCTCTAGACGAATCTGTGCACCATGTCCCTAATCTGTCATCATGTCTCAACCAATCTATAGACAACTTCAACTTGGAAGTGTGAGCTTAGGGCTGAAAGGCAGCATTTCCATTTAATTTCTGGTATTCCTTAAGTCCTAACATGCAATATTGCAGGGTCACTGTCTAGGGCAGGGTGGGCAAACTTTTTGACTCGAGGGCCACAATGGGTTCTTAAACTGGACCGGAGGGCCGGAACAAAAGCATGGATGGAGTGTTTGTGTGAACTAATATAAATTCAAAATAAACATCATTACATAAAAGGGTACGGGTTTTTTTTTTTTTTAGTTTTATTCACGGCTGGCCTAGAGCCTTCAGAGGGAGCATGGCTTGCCCACGGCTGGTCTAGGGCCTTTGTTTGGTATATTATTAAAATTAAATTTACTTTAGCCAAAGAGTGCTCTTTGAGGGTTTCATGTAAATGCCACATATAAAGTGCTGGTGTCTTCTAATAAATGCCCCAAATTGCAATGTTGATGGCTGACCCAGCTCTGCTAGACTGTCCTTCACATGAGGTGTCTGTCAGTGATAGTTCTATGAGAAGTCTGCTTTCAATCACTACCCCAGTTGTGAGTAGATCAGAGTGGCGAGGACATTGTTAAGACACATGTTTGGGCTCCACGGACATTTACCGCTGGCCCAGCGTGCTTCCTTTTAGGATACTATTTTGTTGGCTTCAGGATGGAATGGCCACTTCTCAACATGCAAATCCTAGGGCAGGCTGGTGGGTATCAGTCTATTCAATATGCTCCAAAGCAGTGATTTTAGGCAGAGGACTTGATCAAGTTTAAGGTGGAAGCAGATTTCAGTTGCTTACCAAGAGTGCTTACAAATAAATTGCTGCTGCTTGATGCTATAGCCCATCTTCCTTTCAAAAAAGGATCCTATCTTTGCCAACCAGAGATGATGAAAGCACAAGGGAGACAAGAGCAGGTGCTCACAACCACAATCCTCTCCTGTGAATAAAACCCTCTGCACAGACTGCAGCATCTAGGCTGAATGGTCATGCCCCCTTGGTGTTTACAGTAATGTTTATCTGTCAATATGTAGATCTGCTAAGCTAAAAAAACAGGTACTGCCATCTCATTTTCTGGCCCAAAGACCAGAACCTTTCCAGCCACTAGGGGACCACCATCCAGCACCATGTTTACACGTCTCCTTCACCAGAGGATGC